AAAAAAAAAAAAAAAAAAAAAAAAAAAAAAAAAAAAAAAAAAAAAAAAAAAAAAAAGCTGGAAATGGAAAATCCCAGTAACCCAATTGTTAAGCACTCAAAATTGGTTCATTTCTTTGGCTTTTCCCCAAATATGACTTAACTCACCTAACCTCAACTTGATTCTTGTTTTCTTAAAAAACTTTGGAGACTTTTTTGGGTAAGAAAACGACATTTTTTCGTATTAATTATCATGTATTTTCGTCTCTATATTCTATTTTTTTAAAATAATTTATATTTGTTTCGAGTTATGAGATATTCAATCCCTTGGCTGGATTTTGAATTCCTTTTAGGATTAGATAATAAAAAAAAAGAAAGAAATTTGTGAGTAAAAATAAAGTTTGAATTTTTATTAACTCATAACATGACTTCAAGTGTTATTATATTAACACATGAGCATATCTTCAAATTCCAATATAACATAATAAATGAGTGATTTTTGTTTTTTGAAACATTTTTAAAATAAACCTAAAAATGGAGGACTAAAATGAAATTTGAACAAATTTTAGTATTGACCCACAAAACAGCATCTGATTAGCAAGCAATATAGGGTCATCATAGATGTACATGAACAGAATACATATTATGACTGACCCAATACCTAATCTTCTTGGTATGTTGTCTTCTCCCTTGCAACTCTCTCAATTACCCTTCATTTTCTAAGGCCACCCATTTCTCTGTTCTTCACATTTCATTGCTCCTTTCTTCTTTCTTGTGTTTTCCTTGATGGGATTTCACTTTTAGGCTTTTTGAACACTCAAATGAACGCTTTGGATCATTCTACTTCAGTTGCTGGAGAAGAAGAAGAACTTGTTGCTTTTCTTTAGGTATTGTGTCGTTTCCCTTTTCGCTTCTACTTGATTTTCTGTTTAGTTTTCTGCATTTTGAACTGTTGTATTAAGGGAAAGAAATGTGGGGTTTGAAACCCTTTAATGAATCTACAAATCGTATCTTCCTCATTAATGAAATGTATCAAATTATTAGATACCATTCTTCATCCACCGGGAAGAAAGGAAACTGAAATCACATGCACTCAGCCTTCTCAGGTACTCTAGGCATTGTTTGATTGTAATGTGCTTAAAAAAATACTCGCCAAGCTTGTCCAAGCTGAACATGCCTACTTTTCTGGCAGGTTTGAAGGAAAAACAACCGCCATCGATCTCCAATTTCTTTGGGGGGTTTTGCTTGTCGGTTCGTAATCTTATT